TTTTTAATCTCTCTGAGTGAATCCCTGGCCCTAATGTGGGCAATAGAAATTTTACTCGCAATGTCAGCTGGGCCATGATTGCCTTGCTCAGAGGCGGTGGAATGGGCAGTCCTCCTGGTTACATGGTTAAGCACTTCAAATAATTTTGTGCACAATCCAAGACATTTCTCCTCTCCACAACCACAGGTACTCTCTGCCTCCAGGTATGAAAATCTCATTAACCTGTACCCAACAAGAGCTGACTTCTTCAGGAATTGAATTAGTCCCTTACAAACAGGGAGTTAGGAAAGTGACCTTTAAGAGAAGGGTGTCTTCAGTCTCTGAATTGAATCTTACCCTTCAAAATCATCATCCCTAGTTACAAACTATTACATCTTCACCAGTTAAAAGATGTAAATAGAGCATTCCTTTTCTGATGACATCTCTCACTTTTGATTTCAGCTTATATGGGTCTGTACTGTGTAATCTTCTGGGAGCGGTCTGTCCTTTTAAAAATACTGTGTGAAAGAGGATACAAAAAAAGTTTAAATAGAGGAAAGATGTTCCAAAGAATTGAACAGTTTCTACAGTTTCTATCTGTGTAGCTGGCATTTACCGATTGTTTCGTGTCTGTGTTGTCCTTTATTCTGTACAGAGAAAGCAAATGAAACAACAACAGTATTTATGGCCAGCAACACCAGTCTTTCTGGTCTCTGTCAGTGTGAAATGATTTTGCTCTTGTTTGGGTCAAACAGATGTGAAGAACAGATCATGTCCTTCCTAGAAGAAAACAAAAATAAAAACATTGTTTCAGGGCAAGGAAAATTGGTGATGTTTTCCAAGCATAATCAGATGGTTATGCTTTCAAAACGTGAGCGTGTTCCCAGACTGTCCCACTGGTCGAGAACAGAGGCAATGCCATGGAAGCCCCCTTAGCTTTCTTTGATGATACCAGTATTCCTCTCTCAGATGCAAAAAGACTGGAACTGAGGTATTTTTCAAAATAAGAAATAAAGAATCCTAGAATCCTAGAATCATAGAATCATAGAATGGTTAGGGTTGGAAGGGACCTCAAAGATCAACCCCCCTGCCATGGGCAGGGACACCCTCCACTACACCAGGTCGCTCAAAACCTCATCCAACCTGGCCTTGAATACTTCCAGGGATGGGGCATCTACACACGGAGTATCTATAAATCACTGAAGCCAGTGGCGATACACGGATATGAAGGGCTAAAGACAGACTTCAGGTTGTCCGAAGAACCTTATCTGCACTTTCCTAGACTTCTTGCTGTATTTGAGACATTGCTTGTTTGGTTTTTAGATGATCCTTATAGACTCCAGCTACTCCCTTTAATCTTTTCATCAGTGAGGGTTCAGCAATGTGTTTGGCTTTGCTTCTGGCTGGCTTTCTAAATGCTTAATTTTTCACTTGGATGGCCAGATGTAATGTTCCAAATGACTTCACTGTCCAAGTAATCTATGTGTATGTGTGTATACATACACATAAAATTTATATGAAATTGCATCCGCCAGGAAATATCTTCCTTCTTATTCATCCCATTTTATTTCAGGTATCTATTTAAGTGCAATGAGATAAAGTGCCTTCAATGTCCTCCAGTCCTCAGACAATATTGATATGCAGTTCAAAATGAAAATGTTAGTATTGAAAGAGATTAGATTAAATTAGGGAAAAATTGTTTGGTATATTCGTATAAAAAGATTAAACTGCAATGGTGTGGCACAGAAGTATCAGGATAAAGTAATGCCTTTTTTTCAGCTAAGCCAAACATACTGTGGTTTTGCTAGGTATTTTACCAAGATATTTTAGCTGTGCAAATGAAAAAGTAAGTAATGTATTAATGAGATACAATTACTTGTGATGTGCAATAAAAAAAAAGGAAGCAACAATTTAAGAAGTAAGCTGATATTTGAACTTTCAAACCTGTCACATTTTCAGTTTGAACTGCAAATGGTTGCTGAGAGATCTGCCTACTAGTATTTGGTGCTAAAACGTCAAGTCTATGTGTATATGAGAGTCCTGAATTTTGAAGCAGCCTGTAAATGACTCTATAGGTGTTTGTGATGGCTTTAGTATGGTTTAGTATAGGGAAAAAGCAGAGAGTCATATAAGGAAAGTGCCAGACCACCATTGCTTTTGCTGGGGAAGCAGAGGAACTAATCCTTTCCTATCATCACCTTCATGTGGAGGAGTGTCCTGATGCAGGATTAAGGCAGAACAGAATTAACTAAAGCTCTACACCCTCATTTCCACCCGGACTCAGAGACCTGGACTGTGCAATATGCAGATGGATGGATGGATGGGTGGATGGAGAAAAATAGAGCTGGCCTCTGTTATTCAGACTCTCAAATTCAGGGTCACTTTGCTTGAGTACTTAACTAGGAGCCTCACCAAGTAGTGAGGTTTAAACTCTCTGCCCTGTGTTTCTATGACCTTGACAGTTGAAGAAGCTCAAAGCAGGTGACATAAAACATGAAATAATCAGTTTCAAGACTGTAGCAATGAGATATTTTTTCTGGGCAGACTTGAGACAAATCAGCACAAGCGAGCGGAAACACATGGATGTAACTTTGGGCAGATACACATTTTTTTTTTGCAGATCATTAAGCTACATGAAAAGATTTTGAAGACTTTATCAAGTATTTCATGGTCCTCTCTTATGCCAAGGAAAAGGGTTTCATTAAAATCCTGAGTTTATAGTGAGGTAAACTAGTAAAAATTCAACATTTACTTTGCGAGGAGTATAAGGCCCATCATAATGCTAAACACATGTGCAAATAAAAGGTCTTTGAAGAATGCAGAACAGAGACTTCTGATCCTCACTTTTTTTATTTTATGCTTCTGGTTTATTCACTTATACTAACAGTTTTTCCTTTCTGTACAGAGAATGATTCCAAGTCTTTCCTCTACTGTAAATTATACTGATCCTACATTAGAGCCTGTAGTAACTGAAAATTCAGTCATACGACAGAAGATAATAGATTCGCAGTTCAAATGCTATGAGAGGATGAACAGAGCTCCTCCGTATAAGAAAAAAGGTAAAAAGTATTTTTAAAAAATATGTTTATATATTGCCATGCTTGCTTATATTGCCATGCTTGCTTATATTGCCATAAACGTTTTCTTCTGCATACTAACCCATAGTCTTCTTCAGGGTGCAGTTTCCGTCCTATAAGCAGTAGTCAAATTCACACTAACTTAGCATCCTCTTAAGTGCTAAGAAAAATAAAGGCCTGGAACGAGTCAATACATTCATGTATTGACTGATAGGTGCCATGCTCTGTGCTAACAGCAGATGTTCCAGATGCTCCATATTCAGCAGTGACACTAGCAAAAAGAGGTTGATAAGGCACTGAGGACACATCTTTATTGAACACGAGGCACATATTAAGATTAATAAGAAAGGACATGACAATTAATAGCGACGCTACAATGGCACAGTATAAATGAAGAAGCTTTTCTGGTTGGGACTGAGCATTTTGGTCATTTTTCTCAGAGAAAATATGGAAGAAGTTATGAGGAGGCTAGAGAAAAAATGTTGGAGGCATTATAGTCATTTATGCAAGTAGAGAACAGTGATACTGAGGACACAATCTAAAGAGAAAATATATTAAAAAATCATAATTAAAAAACTCCAGCCTACTAGATGGGGTGGAGATAATATGGGATTTTTTTGTGATACAAGAACAAAGACATGTCTACAGCTCTTTACCAGAAGGATTTTACTGGGCTCGGTGAGACTCAAAGAATAATTAGATGTTAAGATACTCAGGTCTTGATGCAGAAATGTTTTGGAATTAAGATAGACATTCCCATTGCTTCAAATAGATTTTCATTCAGACCAATACTAGGGAAAACTCACAAGTATTTAAACAAGGTTGTGTGGTAGAAAGCATCATATTTCAGACATAAACAATTGCTGGGCTTGAGGGAGGAAGTAACTTACTGTCTGCTCAGGTTACTCTTTTAGCCTCCAGCTCTACAAATATGTCATTTTTTCAGTCCCTTGATAGTTCAGCTGGATTCACTTTTCTTTTGCACCTTGCTCATGTGATTAATTGCAAAGGGCTGAAGTGTTTTCCCAGCATGAGCTGGGAATTCGTATGTCTCAAGGCATATGAATTCCTGGTAGAGTTCTCAAGGGCAGCCTTGTCGCAGGAGGACAGCGGTGACAGACCCACAGCCGTCAGACACAGCACAGCAGTTCCTGCATTCCTTCAACTGGCAGCTAGATTTAAGTGATGCCATTGGGGACTGTTATGTTCATAGCAACATGCACTTAATTGATTTATAACCCAGAATGAAGGTAAGGGGTGAGTAAGGAACAATGCCAACACTACTGAAGTTGCGTTTTCAACTGAATTACAGGATCCTCACCAGCCCTGCAAAATTTTCACTTCATAAAGAGTTGGAAGTTTCTCCTCCCAAATTTGAAGGGGAGAATGCAATGAGATGGGAAATCCCTGTAATGCAAAGGACAACTGTAGGGGTATCTCCTGGGAAGAGAAGCCCAACACATGAGAGGCTGTTCAGGAGGGCCAGTTGTGATAGGACAAGGGGTAATGGTTTTAAAATAGAGGGAGGTAGATTCAGGTTGGATATTAGGAAAAAATTTTTTACCATGAGAGTTGTAGAACATTGGAACAGGTTGCCCAGAGAGGTGGTGGATGCTCCATCCCTGGAGACGTTCAAGGCCCGGTTGGATGAGGCCCTGAGCAACCTGATCTAGTTGGAGATATCCCTGTTCCTTGCAGGGGGGTTGGACTAGATGGCCTTTGAAGGTCCCTTCCAGCCCTAGCGATTCTATGATTCTATGATTCTATGAGCTGAAGGGATATACTGGGTATGAATTTCCAGCATGAACAGTAGTGGGATCTAACACTGAAGTTCCCAGTAAAGCCCAGAGTCTGGTACAACTTTACAGAGCCAGCCAAGATGTGTCTAATTTTTCTCTGGCACCCCTGCAGTCCCTGATGTAGCCTGTTTGTAGACTGGTGCAAAGATAGTTTCAGTCCTTCATAATCCTGGGACTCAAAGTTGATGGCAATGAACTACAGAGAACTGCATAGTATCTCACACTCAAAAGCCAGAGAGATGCTGTAATACAGGTGAGCTGTGGCAGCATTACAAGTGGCCATGTGTCAGCAGAGCCGAAGTAATGGACTGTGTACACTCACTTCGCTTGCCCATTTCAAGGTAGAATTGATTCCCTTGAATCCCAATGGAACAGCAAAATGAGGAGCTGTGGCACATGGGAACACCTGACCATCCCTCTGGGACAGCGCAGAACTCCCGCATTCCCTGTCCATCCAAAAATACAGTATTTTTAGCTAGTGATACAACAATATGGTATTCAACTCTTCTGTTTTATTACTTACACTGGTTTATTTCCTGCAGCACTTATAAAACATATATATGTACGTGCATGTATATCTATATATGTATGTGTGTGTATCTATATATTTATGGATGTATGTGTGCATATATATCCTGTTACTTACCTTGAAGTACACATTCCATAATGTATAGATCAACATCAAGGATTTTTTTTCTTTATCAGGCAAGGCAAAGTTTTTAAAGCTAGAAATTCCTACCAACCCCGTTCTGCAGTGTCTTTCAGATATAAGCTCAAGTTGCAAACATTTTCTACTCTTCTTTTTCTTTGGTATTAGAAAAGGATTCCTTAAAGTCTTTCAGATGCATTTCAAAGCTAGAGAAGAACATGAGACTGTCTGAAGGAAAGATAACAAGTGGCTGATATGATGGTTGGTTAATTAAGTGAACAAGTAGCATTAGCATATTTAACTTGACAATGGAAGAAGAGATGTGCACAAAATCTTAGCTAATGAAGAAAAAGTGTTTATAAAAATATCTGGAAAAAAATAATTTGGAAAGTTTTACCTTCAATTTTTAATCCACAACTGTTTTGACTTAAAAACAGTTGTTTGTGCAAATATGAACAATTCAGATGTCTTTTTACAGTCTTCAGTAAGAAAGCTTATCTGTGGATAATTTCAAAAGCACCAGAAGCAATTAGCTGCCCGCATTTTTTTAACTTTCAATAGTTATTAGGTGCCTTCTGTATGATTCTTTCAAAAACAACCTACATAGTCATAGCAGCAATTCTGAAACTCCCTTGATACCAGAGCAAAAAAAGCAAGATGTATTTTCTCACCATATTTTCCTTTAACCTGATGGTCGTGATGATAAATACCTTTTCCCCAGCACAAACTGGTTTTAAATGGAAAGTAACTAGGAAGTATAGCGGGGTTTTTAATGTGTTACTTGAACAAATCCACAAGTTAGGAAATAATGTTACAGCAAGAAGCCTTGTTGCACAGTTTCTGTGAACCATAGTATGTAAATCTCTGTAATGGGAACCAAGAATGAGCTCTGTTCTTCCTCCTTAGTGTGGCCATCATTTCTGGGGCTGGGAACAGCCCTTGCAGGGGACACAGCCTCGACAGTGCTACCTTCCCAGAAAGGGCGTGATGAGGACAGGATCACAGCATGCCTACACAAGACAGCATCAACAGGCAGTTTGCCAGTTACAGACTGGTCTTGTACCTCGCTTCACTGGATCTGTAGTTACCTGATTGATCTCTAGTGTTGAGCAATGCAACAGCCTTACATGGACCGGTCTGTGCAAATGTTGCCTTTAGCTGGGGCATCCCTGCAAGCCCTTCCTACCTTTCAAAGACTTGATTTGCAGATCTGTTGAACAGCAGAAGGTGAAATGAAAAGTGAGTGTCTATAAGGTCTGTGGATAACCGAGGGCTCCCTTACCACTTGTGTACACATTTACGGCCAAGGATGGAAGGAGGATCAAGAAGAGGAATTTGTAGGATCAGATCCTGCATTCAAAGTTCGATTCAACAGGCTTAAAAAGATTAGTTTCCAGTAAAATTAAGACCACTAACATCAGGTCAGCAAACCGAGTACCTTGCAGCACCTGAAAGGCACTCAAAGTGTAGTAATAACAAGGGATTTTCTTGCAAAAAGAAAACACAATTCTCTGCAGACATCAATATCCTTTGGGAGGCTAGAACAAAGCAGGTCCAGGAGTGACTGTGTGTAAATTAACTACTGCATTCCTCTTAAATGTCCAGGTCTGTTCTGCAACCGAACCTGGGACGGCTGGTTGTGCTGGGATGACACGCCTGCTGGAAGAATCACTGCTCAGAATTGTCCAGATTATTTTCCAGACTTTGATCCAACTGGTACAGTAGTTCTTTTTATCATCTTCTCTTTCGAAGGAGTCTTTGAAACATTCATTCCATTGAGTGGAAACATTTTCCAGTGGCCTCTTCGCAGCATTGTGAAATCTCACAATGAAATTAAAATATATCAAGCTTTTGGATTGCTTAATTTATATATTTTTGTTTGAAAAATATTTTATATTTATTTATGTAAGCATAACCCATGGATTTATGGAACCTAGTTTATGAAAATACTAACTACTTACTTAATATAAAAATATTTTTAGTGCCTCATTCTAAGTTTTTACAATGAAGAAAAAATGCTTATGTGCATGAAATACGTACCAGCATGATCTTTGTTCAGTTTTTATTGGAAAATATAATTTTATGGAAGAAGATGAGCAGAAATACTGTTCTTTCAGTCTCCAAGTTTCAGTTGTTCATTGAATTCTTTATACAAATACTAGCAGCCATGCAGACTAAGAGAAGTAATTCAAGAATGTTTAAAAGGACAAACGAAAGGAAAAATCAAGGACAGAAATATTTGTAATAGATATGAGGAAATATATGTGGTTTAAACTCCACAGAGTATCGTTTGAAGAAAGACAAGTTATGCATTCTACAATCAGGATATATTGCTTATAGGCGGTACTTGGTGCCACAGGGTGCTAAATCCAGCACAGACACAGTGAACCAATTGTGGTTAAAAACTATGAAACTAAATGTTTGGGGTTGGGAGGGTATATAAATCTAAAAAATTTCAACAAGGTTAAACCAAAATGTATGTGTCCAACTGGAAAGTAAGGAAACAGATTATTGCATAGCTGTGAATTAATTATCCAGTACCAATAGTTAAAATTATTGACTTTGTTGAGTTTGTTGCCTATTTAGAAACAGAGGTGTTTCCAGGCTGGGTCAGATCCATGGGAGAGGCTGCATTTGCAGTAGCAGGCAGATTGATCGATATTTCTGTTCTTCATAAATCGATTCTTTATCCATGATTAGAGAATTCACCCAACAAGTGGGTGCTTCCAGTCTGAGAGGATTCAAACCTGCATCCTAACTTGGATGGAGGAGCCTCCCCCTCTCCAGTGGAAGCAGACATTGAACAGGATGGATTGAAGGATTTACATGCCTGGAAAGTGAGCTCACGTGGTAGCATGACTGTCCACCTCTTGTGGAAGTACACTGAGACCTACCCTGCAAATCTTTGCAGCAGTTTGCATCCCTGAAACACACAACAGGCACGGAATTGCAAAGTCTTGTCTTTCATGACCTTCTTTTGCTTTCTGACATGCTTAGTCTTGACCTCTTTTCTGTACAGTGTCATGATTTTCAATGAGGAGTCTTGCAGCAGGGCCATGCTCGTGCCTAATCATTGGAGCACCTAGGGGGAAACAGACTGAGGAGCTGAGATCCATGACTGGAGGGGTGCCTTTGACCTAGGTTTCCCTCTGCAGACAAGTGCTTCAACCATTAGTCTATTTGCACAAAAGATGCCAGAAGAGCATTTTAAAAGAATTGGACAAACTTGGTTCAGTTCCCAGACAGAGGTGCCCACATTCAGGAGAGAGCTGAAGGCTCTGGATTCTGAGGTTGCACAAGGCTCTTCGTACGTGTATGTTAGAGGTGTCTCTTGGATGTGGTCTGTGCCTTCCACTTCAGCCCTCATTTTGTTCATGATGTCTTCCCCATGTGGCAACAGCCCCTTTGATGAATAGGAAAATTTACTAAAAGGCTTCTGCTTTCCCTGCTTTCATGGTTTTCTTAGAAAAACAGTTGTGAACCTAACAGTCCTAGTTTATGTATACTCCAGGCGCTGTTCAGCTTCTACCTGCAGAAGTGGGTGCTGGGCAGCCCTGTGATCACAGAATTTTCCCCACGACTCAAGGGCCTCATCCCTCAGTGCATGGCAGTGATTACAGAGCCACCTATTCCCAGTTTTTCCACTTGCCCACTTGTCTCCAGTGACTTGTTCTGAACTAGTTGCTCCACTACAACAGCACTCTTCAAAGTCACCCTTGAAGCCATCCATGGAGAAGCACCTCACTTCACTTGCTAATGCTTATTAACACCAAGGCCTGTGGCTTGTAGGACCGATTGCAAATCACTCCTTAATGTACAGATGCGTGCTGCAGACTCTGGCCCGCAGTGTGTGTGTACTGCCATTAACTCTTTTTGCCATGCTTTAAAACTTGCAGATTTGGGAATTTTTTAGTATTCCTTTTCTCTGTACAAAGCCTCCAGTCATGAATTTCCTGCTGTTCTCTCTGCTGTCCTGCTTAGAAACAATACCTGTGGCCTTCTGGACTCAGTATTTTCCTCTGGCACATCCCTCTTCTCCTTATCAGCACCTCTGCCAGCCTCTTTGCCTGCATCCTGCTCAGTTGACAGTGTTTCCCCAGCTCAGCAGCAGCTCAGCATCTCCTGGTTGAGCCAGAGTCACTTTCCTAGAATAGCTGTTGAGTAACCCAGCACATATTACAGCTGTGGCATCCAACCAGCGAGTAGCCAGTCTTTGCTTTACAGGTGGCTGACTGTCATACGGGATCTTAATAAAGTAGAAGGGAGACAAGAAATTGTGTGACCAGAAGTCTTTCAACTGCTAATGGAAGTGGCTGCCACTTAGAGGTGGCCAAAAGCACAGGTTCAGCTGTCCTGAGACGTCTGTCAGGTTTTGTGTCACAAGTCATTATTTCCTCTGGTAACTTATGCCTGTTAAACAAAATACAGCTAGGTTTTCTGCTGAGAAACTGAAAATTCATCCTAAAGAACAATGATTTTACAAGATGAAAACTGCAGTGCCTGTCAGATTTCCTTCCCATTAAGTCTCCATGTTATCAAACCACCTCAGCGTGTATTTTAGGCATGCAAGTAACCCCATGGACTTTTGAAATAAATATTTCACGCTGTGCAGCACTGATATCTGTAGAACCACTGTGTATCAGCTCACTGATGGCTAAGTTACTTTTGTTTGAGGCCACCTATAGCTTTGAGTCCTGGAATAAAATTATGTCAAACAGCTTTCTTATTGTGCTTTGATACTTATGCCATTCGTAACTGGAAAAGTGAAACGTTCTCTGGCAGCATAGGATCAGATCCTCCTCCCATCTGCACCTGTGGATGCTGTATACCCGCTCTCTGTGTATGAACCCTCAACAACATTCAGCATCAATGCCAAGAAGAAATTGCTAGAGTATGTTAGAAAGTAAATGGGGTGGAATCATGATCTGGAGAAAATGGCCAAGAAGCAAAATGCCAAAAAGAGCACCACCATGCTCCGTTTGTTTTGTGTCCGACAATTTCACAACTAACTACTCGATGTAGTCCCACTTGTTTCACTGAACTTACTGCCTATTCATCCTAGTTATAAATCTGTGTTCTGAAAGAAGGAAGGACCACTGTCATAATCTAGTCTATTCAGTTGGCTAGGGCTTCCCACAGTTCTTTCCTCACCTGAAGAAGCTTTATCCTGTGAAAAGAAATGAGTATCAGACAAACAGAAACCCCTCTCTACAAGCTGTAACAACTTTATCCTTTTCAATACACAACTGTTGCCTCTTGTAGCAATTTATTTCTCACAATAACCATCACGTGCAATGTGATAATGCATAAAAACCAAATCAATTTGTCTGGAAAACGTACTCAGACCTACTGCTTTAACTCCAGTGACAGCGGAAATTCATTGTCTCATCCACTCCTGACTGCGAAGCTCTGAGCAGGGCTGATTTATACTCCTCTATTCAGGCAACATGCACAGTTTCTCTTGAATTGTATTTTATATTCATATTTCATCCAGGCTAATCTTTGATGTGATCCCTTTGAAATGGTTCCAGGTCATGCTGAAATTGCTAGGAATTAAATTTAATAGGAATGTAGTACTTAATTCATGCTGGTAATATTCTTGCTAATAAAAAAAAAAAAAGGAAATATGTGGTGAATGTAATGGCCTTCTGGCAAAGCAGATTTACAGGGGTCAACAGGAGGAGCACAGCACTGCCCTGGACTGTGCACACGCTGTTGAGTTTGTGACAGGGGAGCATTGTATTTCCCACCTCACTCTCCCTGCACGGTGTGTTTGGTCAGGATTCATTTGGTGCAGTCACATATAGTGATGGAGCTGAATGTGCGAGTCGCACTGTGGCAGCCATACCGTTTCATTCCACTTTCGCTCCCTTTCCTCTTTGGCAAGGTGCCATGGGGAATAGCAGCAGCCACCCCAGCAGGGAGCAAGCCTAGCCCAACTTTGTGATCGAAGGCCATGTTTAGAGAAACTCCACTCAGTTCTGTACTTTGTTGGGTTTCTGTCTTTGGTTCCATTTTGTAAGCCAGTTACTCATAACTCTTCTTGTGGCTTCAAGGGCAAAGTTTCTAGAAGTGCAAGTTGGAAACAGATCTGTATGTATTCATAAGGAATTACCTCGGGTGATGATGCATGCGTTGTTACCTCTTGGGATCGAGGAAGATGGAAGTACAGCCTTGCCTTCCTGCTCTGGCACTGGCTAGAGGGAGCGAGGTCCCCTTGCTCTGGAGTGTGGATCACAGCAGTGGAGAGGACAGAGGCACTGCTGTATTTGTATTCTCTGCAGCTCCCTTCTCATGCCACACTGTGGTCTCTGAATGGCTTTGTATTTCTTATAAAATATCTTTCGAGAAATAAGGATAACTGCGCCACGCAGAAGAGGGGACAGATTGAATAGCTCTTGCAGACCCTTTTGGATTTGCCAGCTGTGGCGCCTATGACCACGAGAGACTGGGTTTGAGGGGCACAGACGCACCCTTCTCACCACTGGCAAAGGCACACAGTGTTCAGCTAAGCAGGTTGCCCTGCTGACAAGAGCAGCCGTTGCAGATGAGGAGTCGTAGCCTTCCACTAGCCAGGGAGGCAGAGACCTTCTGGGTCACAGCAGCAGCTGTGGCTCCTTCCAGCTCCCCATCTCCTGGCAGGCAGGGAGGCCGCTTCCTCAGGCATCCCCTTATTCAAGCACATTCCCAACCGTGGTCTCTCCTCCTGCATACTCAGTCCATCGCGTGCTCCTTTTCCCCCAGCACTGTGCCTCGGCAGGGCGGCATGCCACCACTCACAGCGGGCAAGGAGCAGCATCCCCAGTGGGCAGGAGCCCCAGGGACGTGCTCGAGCGCCCTGAGCAGCGTAGGGAGGGCTGCGCCTGGGAAGGCTCTTCTCTTGCTGCCACAAAATGCAAATTTCCCTGACTGCCTAAAAAAGCCAGCTCTGGATTTCTGCTGGTTCTGTTTTCCTGTCTTGAAGTGATATCATTTAGACAGTGATAAATGAAACAAATCTGAACTCTTTGTCCAGCTGCTTCTTTTCCCCCTACCCTTCTCTGTGTTTCTGTCCTGTTTCTTAGCAAGTTTGACAGCTGTATTTTAAAAATCGGTTCTTATCCCCACCGTGCACAATATGACTCTATTATACAGTTTCCAGTTCTGCTGACTGAGACATTCTGATGATAGTGATAATTCTTCACTTATTACGACACTGGAATTGGAAGTTTTCTAAAGTCTCCACTGTTTTGTATCAGATGATTTTTTCATTTTTGAAAATTTTTCTTCTAGAATATTTTACTGAGGATGTAAGTGAATCAGATGTGCTACATCAGCTATTCCCTCATCTGCAAAACTGAGCACTACACAGGTCTATCCAAACAATGGCAGAGTCCAATGCCTGGTATGTGCTGAGCATGCACTGCAACAGAGGAAACCTTCTACTTCCAGCTTATAACTCAACACTAAGTAAAAATAACAGTGTTGACTCTTTTAACATGTGCTAGCTGTAGAGTTGGTTTAATTGTAAAAAATTTGATTGATAGAGCTATTAGGTTTGTTCCAGAGTTATTTGGTTAAGATATTTGTTACATATAAATGACTGAGTTGCTTTTATGAAAATATGATTCATAAAAGCACTATTGGTAGCACAAACAATACCACATGCAAAACTGTTACTTCTGGTTAATCTTTTTAGACACTTCCCTACTCCCATGAAACTGCCTTTGTGGATGAGATTTTTCTCATCCATTTTTCCCAAGCAGCTCCGAAGTGTCTGTCTTTCTAAGCTAACTAGAGAGTCTGCACGACTGCCTCTGGATTGTGTAACTTTAAGGTTGCTAAAGTCAGGTGAGACGAATCCCACGCAATGTCACTGTTCCTCCACTTTTAATTACATGATGCCCGAGTGCTGCCCCACACAAGCTGATAAGGCACAGAGCTTAAAAATCTAGTGTTTACATGGTATTTGAATGATCTTAAAGCACACGCTTCCATTTTGCCTTGCCAGTGTTGCCTTACCCATCCTTACACAATTGTGTATTTCTTCAGAGCTTACTAGATTCTTCTGGTTAGATTGAAAACCAATACATGCCGAGGTTCATAATCCCACACCTGCTACTAGGCTTCTGTAGAATAGCTTGCAGAAGAGCCATGGCTGGGTTACAGATTCACAGCTTGCTTTCTGAATAAAAGCATAGATTTAGGGACAGTAGGGAGGCTTATCCTCCAGCCCCGTATCCTGACAACATCACGGCAAGAAATCTGAAGGCTATAGTGGCTCCAGAATAGGATCAGTTGTGTTTGGCTGGCTTCAAGGAAAAGTATGAGGCAACATGTTTGTCTCTAACTTAGAGAGGCCACATTAAATTTCGGCAGTGTGCCTACCCAGACACTAACGTACAGAGATGATGGATGATATTGCCATTATACTCTAAAGCATATTAACAAAAGCTGTGTACTTGCAGAGTGCATGGGATAGTAGGTACAATGTTTGTACACCGTGTTCCGTGGTAGTGTAACTATTATTCTTTTATCTATGACTGAGAACTACTTTTTCCAGCTTTAGATAATATCTGGCAACGAGTATAACAGGAACATTGCTACACAGGCAGTCAGAGGTTATCTCCAAGCTGCAGTGATGGAAGGCTGAGATAACATGTACTGTTCTTCTTGGTGTTGTCGATGCACGTATTGATTTTCAACAAGTCCCCCAAAACAATGATTTGAAACTCACGGTAATTTTGAAAGTATGCTGTGTTCTGGAGAATTTTCTTTTTTTTTTTAGGTTTTTGGTTTTGTTTTGGTTTGGATTGGATTTTTTTTTGCAATGGCACAATATAAAGTGTATTTCTAGTCAGTGGAAGATAGCTCAGTCAATACAATCCTTACCTTGCCAGTATGATCGATTGCTTTCCTTAGGGCATATGGAGGAAACAGAATCTTCCAAAATAATAGAATCATTAATCACCAGAGCTGGTTAAGAAAAATAGATGCAAATGTTTAACACAAAAAACGAAAATGTGTATGCTCAAATGGTAATTGGCTCTGTAAAAATGTATTGACTGAAAATGCTGGTAATCCATGTATAAAGCAAATAAGATTATAAAGCTAGAACAGGCAGAGGGAAGTCAAGGCAGACTTTTTAGACTATCTAAAAAGTCGGACTTGAAATACTGTGTTTTCCATAAATAAGCAGCTGTGCCACTACCTAAGAAAACATCAAATCATTTAAGTTTTGATCTGATCTTGCCTTTGTTCCTCGGGCAAACTTTCCAGTGACTCCCATGTGGCTAATGCTTGAGAGAAGGGCAGAGGAACCGGTCCAAAACTTGGCAGGTGATTAGGAGTGCCTGTCTGCGCCTCAGCGTCCAGGGTTTCCCAGACAGAAACGTGAGCGTGGAGGACACAGGCACAGCAGAGGTCTGTGGCTCCAGGCATCCCTCCGAGCTGCATGGTGCTGAAGCCCCCGCCGTCCCCCTGCCACGGTGAAAGGACGCATGCAAAGGAGCGCGAGCCCAGAGAGCCATCCTTACGGCAGGGCTTTCGGGAAGGACTCCAGAACCGCCCATGGGACAGAAACCAGCACCAGAGGCACGCGTGGAGAGGCCAAACACACATCAGGCTATTTAAACAGAGAGCTCTTCAGCCATTTTAAATGAAACTGGGCGCTTGGGACCTGCACCACAATGCTTGTGAGGCCACTTCTCCGGGTGCCCACGTGCTCTGCAGCTTCAGAGAAGAGCAAGCAGTGCTTCTGCTCACGCCAGTGGGATTTCGGTGGGACTCTTCCACCCACCAGCTCCAGCATGCAGGCTTCAGTTTATACACTGCTTGCTGCCCTTTCTCTACATAGTATTTTTAACCAATTATTTCCCTTCATACCTGAAACTCTGCTGTGAGATACAGTCAGCTGGTACCTGTGTATGAATACCAGCATGTCATAGCAAGTGTAAGGTTTTAAAGCAAAAGGTCAGATTTGTGTGCTAGCCGGTGGGCACATCCATTTTCCGACATCAATATTACAGGTTGGGATGAGAACTAATGACAGCGCTGGCTTTGCCAGCCTGTGCACAGTTCCATTGGGTTCAGCATCAGTGCCTCATTGTCTCTTCCAGAAACAGCTTCCAACAGCCTCTTTAAATGAATTATTGTCCCATAAATAATTGCATCTGAATGAAAGCTGGGTATATATACTTTACTGCATTCATTCAGGACGAAAAGAGACAGGTAAATGACAAGTGTACCATCAGATAAATCTCTGAGAAAAAAAAAAACAAAACGCAGACAAATGTGTATTAATTCTACAAGTTGAAAATCCTTTGCATTTTGTTACACAGTCGTTTTATTTCCAAACATAGACATTCTTTCTAAGGGATTTTTAAATATGTACTATGCATATACTGAAATTACTATTATTGCAATTTATCCTCAGAGAGGGCTTCAAAATACTGTGATGAAACTGGGAACTGGTTCCGCCATCCTGAGAGCAACCGAACTTGGTCCAACTATACCCTGTGCAACTCTTTCACCTCTGAAAAATTGAAGGTATGCTCCAGTTAAAAAGGCAGTGGTCGTTTGGGAATGGTTTTGAGCTGAGCTAGCGGTAAGACACATATGAGAGAGATCAGAATAGTCCTCATCTTTAGCTTTATTTGTTGCACAAGAATTTAACTGCATTGTTAAAAAAACATTGGTTTAAACAAAAAAAAGTCAATCTAACATCATGAAAAACATTAACAGCATTGTTAAAAATGTGATTTTAGTTTATCAAAATTATTTGGTGAGTACTCAAACCTAAGTATAGGTTTGCTACAGGGTGGATAATATAGTAGCAATTCATATGACAGGTTTTGCAGTGTTTTTCAAATGCATTTTTTAATTCTGATGATTTTCCCTGGTTGTCCAATGGTTACAAAATGTCCTTTAGAATTTCAATTTTGCTTTCTGTAACAAGTATCTTCCAAGAGGTTGATGTCTTCGCTGCAGGGCTAGAAATATTAACGTAAGTTAGAATAATTTTTCTTAAGCAAAGAATATCACCCTGTACTCACTCCCTTTGAAAAGAAATATTTATGAAGGTACCGTTAATCCAGAAAATCCTACAAGCCTGAACACATTTAACTTTAGCGATTTGACTGAAGTCATTGAGACTATTTACAATAATGAATTAAGCATTTTACATTAATATTTCCAAAATCAAGTTGCTAAGCTGAAAGAGGAGAACTAAATATAAAAGGACCAAAAGAAACAAGGAGAGAGAAATCTGAGAAAAGCTTAAAAAGAAATAAATTAAGGAAGCTTATGAAAATAAACATATTTCTCAAATGTGAGTGGAGCTCCAGGAAAATCTGGTTACAGATTTGTGACAGAATAACTTGTGACTGTTTGGAATTGTGGAAGGAAAAGAGTCAAAAAGTTATTTGATTTGGGGTTTGTGTTTTAGGATCTTTTTTCATGCAGCCAAAAAGCAGTATGTGGTTATATTTAGTAATGATCCAGTCTAAAGGGCCTTGGAAAAGTCTGCTGGACTAGGCAAGAGGTGAATTCTAAAAGTTTTTGCAGCATGAGGAACCATCATGGTAAAACGAGGCTTACCTATGTGACAAAGAGAGAATAATAGTAACAATCTGAGCTCACAGAGGCATTAAATGGAAGCACTGTAAAAATATAGTTTTTCCAGATGTTGGCCCATGTAGGGAGGCAAAAAATGTAGTTCTGTTACCTATTATCCATGCCTTCCAGAAGAACAATTTTGAACATCATTCAAGCAAAGTGCAGATAGAACACAAAGGAAAATTATACGTACATCAAGATTCTTCTGAAAAAAAAAAATGATGGAAAATGCAGAAAGAATCTGTCTTACAGAAATGCCAAGTTAGATGATGACCTTTAATCCAAGCCTTCAAAAACAGGAGCATGCTTCATTTGCAGACTATTTCCCTGTACCTACAGATATATAATTAACTGAGTAGGAAGTATTCCTATTAGAGAATTCTCTTTCCTCACGTGAAGAATTCTAAAGAGGCAAAAAAAAAAAAAAACATTTTAGTGTTTCTTTTAGCAGTTTTCTAAGCCTAGAATGGCAAAATCTGCATAAACTAAAAATTTTATGAGTCAGTGTATTTGGTGAGTCCTATATGTCAGAAGGGACATGACAAATTGGCTGTTCAAGGAGCGCAGAAATTAATAAAATAGTTCTTTATTTATTTGAACTTAACTGGAAATACCAACATGCTATACTTTTGAGACATCACTTAAAAAAAAAAAAATTGTAGGCAGTTCTTAAAAACGCAGTGGTAGACCATATGCTTTGTTTGTTGATGGTTCAGTCCATTCTGATCTGTCTTCGTTGTTATATTTGGAAAGCTTTTTTGAACAGTTACCATAGTAAGTTTACATGAAGTAATCAAAAATGCTATTGCTGTGTCCCAGATATACAATTAAACTGATTTAGCTGAAAGGTAGATAGTTTGAATAACCAAGAGTCCTCTGGGATGCACATGGACTTGCATGTAACTATCTGGAAGCCTTTCCTACTTCTGGCTGTTTCAGGCTAAGGGTTATATACAGGATAGGCTGCAAAACAACATATTTTTGAACCGTTCATCTGTAAATTTTATTCAGGCTTTAAAATTATATCGATCTAACATCATGAAAAACCATAGCAACCACTTATCATGGAGTGGAAGAAATGTCACATGCATACAGGTAAAACTCTCTCCTGCTACTTTGTATTCAGAAAGTTGTCTCATCTTCTGGGCACTCTCGTCCTCCCTGTCTGGGGTTCCTGGTGCTCTCAGAACAAGTTGTCAAGCATCTGCGCTCACTAGCAATGTTGTGATTAGTCTTGTGAAGGGAAACTAGGAGATCTAGGGTATTTACAGTAAATATGCATAGATTTGCATGATTTGGTGAGTTGTATTTACACTCAGATCAGGTCTTTTCTACATGGTCAGGATGGTGTAAACGTGACTTTGGTTTAAATCTGAATCAGGCCAACACCACTTAGGTTAATGAAAGCAGGAGCTGATTCCAAAGTTGTAAAATCATAGAATCATAGAATGGTTTGAGTTGGAAGGGACCTCAAAGATCATTTAGTTCCAACCCTCTGCCATGGGCAGGGACACCTTCCACTAGCTCAGGTTGCTCAAAGCCTCATCCAGCCTGGCCTTGAACACTTCCAGGGATGGGGCATCCACAACATCTCTGGGCAACCCGTTCCAGTGCCTCACCACCCTCAGAGTGAAGAATCACCCTCAGAGTGAAGAATTTCTTCCTTAGATCTAATCTAAATCTAAAATGACTGAAGAACAAACTAGATAAGAAGATGTGCACTTTCATTTTCTGAATTTTATTCATATTTGTTTTCAAACAAAAGTTTTAAATTACTTGGAAACACGGAAAAAATGTGAGCAGTAAACCTTAGGGCTACAGAAGGCAATCATCTAATTGTTGAAAAAAGGAGTATTACTCATGCATAAAAAAAGAAAAATTATTGAAGTGGTGCTGAAAAGAAAATAAACCCAGCAGAGGAACTGAGGCCTGCTATCTAGTCTTTGTTTCAGCACAGGCTGCTCCTATATTAGTGCTTTCAGAAAAGAAGGCAATGGTGAAGCCTGGCATGACATTTAGCCTCCTGTGGTCTTCTTACAGCTGAGTGGTTCTTAAGAGCTTGGCTGAGACCAAAGTATGACATTTGAATATGGCAATGTTCTGCAGCCCAGGTGCTCTCCTGCAATTTCGTTTCACTGTTGGCATACAAAATACAAATGACCTGTCTTAGATTTCACTGATACCAGTCAAAGTAAAAGCCCGATTATCTGTTAGTGCCTACTGGCTTCACAGCACTGAGACCATCTAGTTGCCCAATAAGCAAGGTTCACATCAGTGTGAACCAGAATTTGTCTCAGAGAATGCTGTTCTAGTGTGGTAGGAGTTGAGGATAATTTTCATCTCATCTGCTGCTTTCATGACTCTCTAGGCCTTAATCATAAGCCCCCTCTGACTTCTCCTCTCCAAAGGGGAGAATCCCAGCACTTGTACCCACTTATCATGACACAGCTATTCTACCTCGGTTATTTTAGGTGCCTGCTTTGCACCTTTCCTAACTCTGCCATGTCCATAAGATATGGAGATGAGAAACACACATGTATTTAAGATGTGTAAATGTTAAACAGAGGCACAAGGATGTTCTACCATCAGTGCCTTTCCTGATGACACCCAACATTTTGTTGACTTTTTGGCTGACGTTACATACTAAGCCAATGATTCAGAGAATTGGTCAGGACAACTCCAAGATCTCCTTCCTGAGTTTGGGTTCCAGTTCTGAGTTCAGCATTGTATAGGCAGAGCTTAGATCGTTTGTCCCAAGGTGTATCACCCCACTTTTTAAAGCTCATATGGAATTGTTTTGTCCCCTCAGTCATGTGAGGCCCTTCTGGAGTCCCTCACTGTTACCTGGAAGACCTGAGTATCACCTAGAAATTTAGAGATTTCTCTGCATCAGGTCACTGATGAATATACTGAAGAAAAAGCCAGCACTCATAACAGTCCTGAGGGCACCTAACCACTTGCTCCTCTCCAAAAGGGACAATTAAGCTTTTGATCCTTGTTGTTTAAGCTGCTTTCGAACCATGAAAGCCTTCCACCAATCCTGCAACAACCTATTTTCTTTAATAATTATTTGTGTGTGGAAACTTGTCATGGACCTTTTGAAAATCCAAATGTGTTATATCTGCTGTGCTCTCCCAGAGCTCAGAAAAGTTAGTGATGCATAGTGTGAGCAGGAATCTCACCAGTTACTTCAGTGCAGCAGAAACAGATCAACTCATGTAAGAAACACTTATCTCATCTTTAGACCATGAGTCATGCTATTTAATAGATTGGTGATATTAAAAGTATATTGAAAAAGAACTTTGGAAAAAAAAAGAAGTAAAAAATGGGAGGTCGATTTTGTAGATTATTCCCTGCAAATTGTTCATGTTTGCCTTTTCTTTTTGTTAAATTGCAGATGGCGTTCATACTTTATTATATGGCGATCGTTGGCCATGCTTTGTCTATAACATCCCTGTTGATTTCCTTGGCAATTTTCTTCTATTTCAAGTAAGTGTTTCTTACAGACACTGTCTTTTTTTTCCCTGAGGGATCTCAAGTGGTAACCAGAGGAAAGCTTGGAAGGGGACATGACAGTGAGAAACAGCTTTTCTGAGTGCCTTTTTATACAATCCCAGTTAAAAAATCTCAGCACAGGGTTCTCTTGCCAGTGGGACATCTCCTGGTGGTGTGTAGCCAAGATCATGCTGTTAGATTTATCAAGACCAGTGTAAAAGTGCAGCCCACAGGGAAATGGTGTAACTGGGGATGCAGTAAGGCCCTTCATTTACCAGTTGCCTGTTGTTCCCTGAAGGGCATGTCCAGCCCCTGGCAGGTGCAGTGGCTGCACAGGGCAGTGGCGTGGAGCCCCCAGCTCCTGAAGGACAGGAATACCTTCATCCGATGCTGAAAGACTGAGCTATTGACTGGAATAGGTGTTTACAGGACTCAGCACTAAGAGTAAATCTGACACTAGTGTGTAGCCTGTCATCATCATTAAAAGGAAAACAGCCATGTGCTGTACCAGAAATTTAAAGGAAACTACACTGGTATTCACTGAAAGCATTGCAGCTTATGTATGGCAACTTAACTGACCATTTAAATCTTGTCCCTTGGTGAACCTGTCTGCATGCTATATATTTTAATGTGTCTGCAGTGCAGGAGCAGAGGGAGCTCAAATTTGCCATCAGACATGTAGCCACAGCTTCAGTCACAAACAGTAGTGAAGGGCTGTCTGGGAGCAGTTGTCAGTTTTCAGCTCAAGGAAATGGTAAGCGCTAGGAGACATCAAAGGCACTGGGGCAAATATTCAAGAATAAACAATGGACAAGATCCTGAGCTATTGTACATCCAGAGCTATGACAACTTGCATAGGCTATATTCTTCTAGCTCTTAAGCAATCTTTTTAAGGTATTTCACTTTCATAACATCTCTAAAAACAGCAAACTTGTCGGACTTAGAGCACATTCAGAAATCAGGATTATAATGTCCGTTTACAGATACTTTGATGAAACAGAATGATACATACAGTATAAGAACCCAAATGGGATGGTGTCTTACTGATTTCAGTAAAGGTGCATCGGTAATCAGACAGCCAAACCATCTGTTCATGACCAGAGATAGGGAAATGCTAACCATCAATAGAGTATATCTGGAGATAACTGCAAGGTAATCGAAAAGACCAGCTAAAGTTTTCCAACTTTACTGGAATGAAGATTTCCAAGGACACAAAGGAGTCTTCCCCACACTTCACACTGGGAAACAAAGTAAGAGTAATATGAGAAACAATTACAACTGCTTCTGAATAACACACACAGTTGTAACCTGACAGACTTTTATTGCCAAAAAACTTACCTCATTCAAGAATACAGAAAAATCTCAAACTCTTCAAAGAATGCAGTATTCTTTGAGTAGTCAAGAATACAAGGAAAGGGGAACACAAAAAAATATTTTTTTCTTCACAAGCTTCTTTACAGAGTTTTATGAAGAATAGTTGCACAATAATGGCAACCTGTAGTAATTAAATGTCTGTTTGTTGTTTGTAAGAGTATACTTTGTTGTTGTAAGAGTATACTTTTTCAAGACTGTAGGAAGTTATTTCAAGCTAAAATTGTGCCAGAACACAGATAGGCCTGTGTGAGAGTATTAGTAAGCTTCTTTCTACATGAATGTTAACAGATTTGAGCCCTTGATAAGCATCCAAAATACATTTTTTTTCTTTCTTTATCATCAATAGAAATAATATTGTTTTTTGTATTCACAAAAGTCTATTTCAGCAGCTCAAAGACATATTTGCAATCCAGAAGCATAGAATGCTTATAGGGATTAATTGTCTTTCCAGGAGACAGATAAAGAACATGACTTTTGTATACAGGTCAGAATTTATCATTTGTTTTTATTTGGTTCATGTTTTTAGAACAATAAAAGCCAAAAATAAGCCCTCAAATCTCCCAACTCAAATTTAACAAATACATCAAATGCATTTTTTTTTAGTTCTTAGTCACCAAAATAGTAACTGTGAATTATGAGCAGATTCTAAATTAATACCTTCCCACTCATGTCAAATCATGAATGTATATTATATATACATGTATATTATATATAATCATGAATGTATATAGAATCATAGAATCATAGAA